AGAACTGGACCCAGAGGACAACTTGGGAGCAGTTAATGAGGAACCTGAGATCTCGATGCATGCTATGGCCGGGATCAAAGGGCCAAGAACGATGCGACTGCCAGCATGGGTCAAGGATCGTAAGGTGATAGTACTCGTGGACAACAGGTCATCACACAACTTCATCAATGCCGACTTGTCCCTGAAGCTGACTTACCAACCACGAAGATTGAGCCTTTTGAGGTACGAGTAGCCAATGGTGAGAGACTGCAATGCACTAAATCCTTCCGGAAGGTGCCAATCAGGTTCAGCGGAGTTACGGTGAAGGCTGATCTCTATGCCTTACCTCTGGTTGGGCCGGATGTCGTCCTAGGAGTGCAGTGGCTTGAAGGGTTAGGCAAGGTGACCACCGACTATCGGACAGAAATTATGGAGTTCAACTCCGGAGGTCAGCAAGTCACTCTGAGTACTGGCAATGAAAAAGGTGACAAGGAAGTAGGACTTAAGAGCATTGAGAAAGTTTGGCGGGGTGGAGGCCAAATATTTGCAGTAGTAGTAGAGAAAACTGAGGCGCACATAGATTGAGAGGAACAACAGCAGGGAGATGTACGCGAGCTTCTCAAGGAATTTGAGGAGGTACTGGGCGAACCTAAAGGGCTACCTCCACATCGGGAGTTCGATCATCGCATACCACTGATCAATGAGCAGCATGCCATACACGTTCATCCTTATAGGTACGCTCACTTTCCGAAAACCGAGATTGAACGGCAAGTGGCCGAGATGCTTGAGTCAGGACTAATCCAGCATAGCAAGAGTCCGTTTTCTTCTCCAGTCCTGTTAGCCAAAAAGAAAGACGGTACATGGAGGTTCTGTACTGACTACCGAGCACTGAACGCCGCAACTATCAAAGACGATTCCCTATCCCGAGTGTCGACGACATGCTCGATGAGTTAGCTGGGTCACACTATTTCTCAAAGCTCGACCTGAGAGCTGGGTACCATCAGATTCGACTCCAGCAGGCCGACATTCCAAAGACAGCATTTCGTATGCACCAGGGGCACTATGAGTATCTAGTCATGCCATTCGGATTGTGCAACGCCCCATCCACTTTCCAGTTCGCTATGAATTCTATCTTCAAGGAGTATCTGCGTAAGTTCGTTCTGGTATTCTTTGATGATATCTTGATCTATTCGAAGTCGTGTGGCGAACATCTTGGGCATTTGAGAGTAGTGCTCGAAATTTTGGAGGCCAACTCATTCCACATCAAGCCATCCAAATGTTCATTCAGGCAGAAGATGGTTGAGTATTTGGGGCACTTCATATCCCACGAGGGCGTGAAGGTTGATCCACGAAAGATTGAGGCTATGATCGATTGGCCAAAACCGATGAGTCTCACACAGCTG